GAAGAGCCTAGTGGGTTAAACAGAGGGTCTTGGGTAAACATTTAATAAGATTCCATCTTCATCAGCAGTTGTAAATCAACTCCTGTCTCATTCACAAAGTCAAATCTTGGAATAACTAAATCTGTGCCCGAATTGTGCCACCATCCACAATGTCAAAAACTTATTCATATGCAATCATAGGTTCTTCCTGGCCATCGGTTTATTTTCCTGTTTTCAAAGTTCCCTGGAAGATCAGAGAGCATCTGTTCATATATAAGCTAGATAAACACAGATTTATCTGCAGAAGATACCATATTGCCCATATCCACAGAAAGGGGCTAGTATATTAAAGGCATATCAGGAAGGAAAAAAAAAAAATATTTTAAACACTAAAACAAGTCTAACTTGTTGTAGCAAAACACTGTGAGTAATGCAGGGCTTGCCACTCCTTTAACAGTAAGCAGAAACGTACACTGTGAACATGACCCAGAACAAGTTAATAACTGGCTTACCTCTAAAAGTTTCTAACATTAGAAATTCAAGAGCATACTTGCACTCAAGACCAACATCTACCCCATAGGAAATTAACAGATCATTAGTACACATCTGCCTGGAAAGAAAAGCAAGATTGCTTGCTTTGTTGTGCTGGTTTCACAGACCTTGGATAACCAAGGTCAGCTTACAGATTTTCCTAGTTTTACCACCTCCAGAGCTAACCTGAGGAAGATCACACAATGTAGTTTGTAACCACAGTTATAAGTAATGTCAACAAGTGCAGTGCATCCATGCTTGATGTGCTACAATTTCTGCATCAGGTGAAATAATCACACCCTAACCCATTCCTTGGCAACAGTCAAGAAATATTTGTTTTCTCCTCATCTGAGCTACTACTGCTTTGTTTACAGGCCCTATTACTCAGCACCACAAAAGCAGCTTTTGCCTGAGGCACTAACCAAATTTGAGGATGAGACTTAGACAGACAGCACACTGCTTACATACAAGACTGACTGCACTGTTCCTCTGAAAAAAAAAAAACAAAAACAATCTCTAACAGACTACTATTGAAAAGACCCATCAGTTCTCATGATTTTTCAGTAGAGGGAAACATTACCAACTTAAGGTTCTACTTATTCTTTTGCACAAAGTGAAGTTAAATTAACTGAATTTTCAACAACCCTAGAGTAAGAGTTTTGCTGAAAAAACACCCAGCTCCTTTTGTGAAGGCCACCAGGAGTTCAATGCTATTCTTCAGAGATGCAGTGAAGTACACTTGGATATGCTGAAGATCATTTAGACCTTATCTTATGCTTCCAGTTTGAACTCATCAACTAGGCAATATTATGGTATTGGTCTACACTTTGCTTGAAAATAGCTCTTGCTACTCTAAGAGCCTGTCCAAAGGGTCCTTATCCAGAATATTTGTGCAATATCAAGGAAATATCTGTTTGCAGCAGACTTTTTGAAAAATCATTGGTCATTGAAACCAAACATCTGAGTCTCAGGACTGATTTCACACAATTTATTTGAATGGGATCCGAGAGATCTGGCCAGTACAAAGGTAAGCACTCAGAAGAGTTGTCAGTTTTAAAGTGCTCTTAAGAAGCTAAGCAATAAAATCTTATTAATGCAAGAACAGCCTCTGGTTACTCATGTAAGCTATCCCTTGCAGCAGCTCCAGGAGTTGAAGGAAATTGACCTATTATGCAGCCAGTTCTGGACATTAAGTAAAACTTGGCACTGGTTCAGAATAGCAGCAGCTGAAGGAAACAGATTTACTCTACAACACAGGCCTATATTCCTCTGTCAATGCCTGTCTGGGTCACATAACAAGATAGCTGCTTTTGTTCAAGACATGGGTTTGCTTCTTGTTGACACAGGCTGCTTAGGATTAGCAATAAAAATCAAAACACACTGTTGGCTCCACCATGCCTCAGAGACAAGTTCCATTTTACCAAGAGGGAAAGTACACCAGGCAAGTGGTGCTTAGGTCACCAACATGCATATTCTGAGCTGCAAGAAGTATAAACTAGAGTTTTCAAACCAGCCATATAGTTTTAAGCATGCTGATCTCTAGATAAACACCTCTTTGCAAAATACAGGACAAATGCCCTGTTTCTACCATTATTGTAGCACTGAAATTCTCAACAATACAGGGCATGATTGAGTACAGCATGAGCCTCAGCAATGCAGTTTCATGCCAGTCAGACTTTACTTAGAATTAGTCTTCATTAATCTTGTCTCCTCTCCTACAGATAAGGGGTCCAAATGGATCCTGAAAGATTCTCACCTATACCTCTGAGAAGTTCCCCTGAAGAGAGGTCGGTTGGGAGCTTTGAAAACAAGAGGGTTTCTTTAAGTGACATGTCACTTCATGCTTTAAAGACTGTACTCCACATCCTTTAATTGAGGCATCTATTCTAGAAGAGCTAATACTTTCAGTAACTCATTGTACAGATACTCAACTAAGTGAGCAATCTTTGTGCTCACTCAGTGATGATCAAAAGAGGTCACTTGGTGCTGTCCTACCAAATCAAAGCTTTCCAGATATGGGAAGAGACCTGGAACAGCAGTAAATAGGATCTTCCCCCCCCCATATAAAGTTAAAGATTTATTACCAGAATATGTAGAAACCCTACTCCAGTCACTAACTTAATTTGACTTTATTAGAGGTCAAGGAAATAAGTCACAAGAAAGAATTAAGCAGAAGCTTATTTATAGTTCAAACTTATCATTAATGAATAGGTACACTAGATTTTAAAACAGTAGAGAAGAATTGCCTTCTGCATGTCTTTTTTTGGACCACACTGCTTACTTGCTAGACCTTTTAATATTGTATTGCTTAGCCAGAAAGAGAAACAGTGTTAAGACATAATTTGAGAGCAGTATTTGATATTTTTCTTCTGTGCAAGTGAAAATCCATCTTAACACATGTATAAGAGAATGGAGTAAGTGAAGTAAAATTCTAAGCAAAATGTGGTGAGAAACTGAATCCCAAGCACTGTGTTACACTCTTGTTAAAGTTCTAACAGGCACGTGAAACTTGCTTCAAAACACACATTCTCATTTGATTACAATTTGTTAGTTTACAATATCACATTAAGGGCTGTATCTGAACTGTCAATAAACAGAATTGGGTAGATCTTTGTCATTTCAACATATTCTCAAAGTCTGAGCTGTTTTATCACCAAGACATGTTAACACTCAGCTGCTTTTCATTTCAGTTTTGCTACTGTTCAGTTTTCCTATTAAAATGTATTTTCTAAAGAGATAAAGAAAAATAATGCTGTTATACCTATCTTGCTCTGATCAGAGAGCTGATGTCAATTAGTACAATATGGATCAATGATGCATTAAGTAGTCTAGTGAAGTCTCACACTACCAAACAATGATTCCACTCACAGAACCCAGCAGTACCAAGTAGTTTAGCTTGAAGAGGTAAAGGCAGTGAACTGGGACTGCTGTCAAGAGTCTCAAGCAATTAAGTATTTGTCACTGGTTTTATGGCCAGTTAAGAGCCACTGTTTTACCATCTTTCAATGCAAAGCCCTCCAAGTCTGCTGAAGCCTATACTGACTAGTGAGGCCCTCCACAGCTGGAAAGCTTTCACTGCTAGGTTACTCCAGACACCAAAACACACTCATCTACAAGACGATTCCACCCATTGTCTAAGTGACTGCTGTCAGGACTGGGAAAGCTCACCAAGAGAAGCAAGATCTAACCTCTGGGTCCTCACTCTACACATTCCTTGAAAAGAGATGTTTTTGCCAATTATCACATTGCCAGAGCATATTTTTGTTTCCCCTTTGTGTAATTCTACTAGCAGACCATTACTTGCTATAGTATTATGATATGTTAGTAAGCTTACTGTATATCACACTGGGAAGAAGATTAGGAAATAAGTGGTACTGACTAAACTTTTGAATGGAGGGCCCAGCTAATGCTTCATTCTTCAATTTCACTACCATGAAACATCACAAAGGGAGTGCCTGATGGGGCTGACAGGAGTTTGCTTTGCTAAAGTTCATGAAAATTTACCTATTGTAAATTTCACACGGCTCTGCCACATTTGTTTACAGCAGTTTGTAGTCACATCTACTCTCAGGCACAAGAAGCAGTGTTAACTGCACTTGATACAGGACAACTGGATGCAGTCTATCCACACAGAAGAAAATGCTATAGAGGGAGACCTCAGTGGCAAGCAAGCAATATATATTAAAAAAATCTATAGTGATAGTTTCTGATTGATTGTAATGCAAGAAACTGGCAGCCTTACAATCCTACATTTTTAAGTGTCTCCCTTGAAGATTACAGCCTTTCAAAGCTGTCTCTTTCCTTCAAGAAAGGAAACACCTTGTCTACCCTGAAGAAATACAGAGGCACTCTTGAAAGAATGAAATAAGTGGTAAAAATCTTGATTCTGTGGTGAACAGGGAAAGTGATACAACTGCTGCTCAGGAAACCATAGCCATGTAATCAGTTGTCTATACTTGCTTCTAAGCAACAGTTCCTCCCAGTTAGACTGTTTCCATATTTGACTTCACTATTAAAAAACCACCACCTAACAGCAATCCTGTCTGCCTCTAAAGCATAAAACAAAAGCTAAGCTAGCACAGCCAGCGTTTAGCAGGTGGTTGCTTTATTTTCAACTTACTTTATGGCTGGGAACTCTTGGCAGGACCAATGTATCTTTCCATAGATCATCCGAGGACAGTTAGTACCCTTTGCATGCTTGTAACCCAATATAAAATCTCATCTGTCAGCTATTATAAACTAAATATTGTGACAGAAAAGTATTAGCCTAATCGGCATATACCAGCATACATACTCTGACCCCAAGACCTAGTTTAATAGGTCATCAGCTAAGCACATGTCCTGGAATTGAAAACTACATTGCGACAATTCTCATATTCACAAGTCTCCTCCTACCAGTCAGATCAGAAGCTCAGTTTTCTCAGCATGAAGTTTCTCCTCCCATGCTAGTTACCACCACCACAACCTCAATCCTCAAATTAGTTTTCAAATTCAGAAAGCCAAAAGACTGAGTTCAAGCCATATTTCAGAAAAAACCCAAACATGCCCTGGAATATACTCCCCCACACTACAAGTTTAGAAACGCTCTTATACAAATTAGTGTTTGGTCTCTCTCAACGCTGCCTTTAGGTTTCAAAATTCAGTGAACAGCAGCATCCATTAAGCGACACTTACCTCTACTTCCACAGATTGCATTGCTAAATCACATGGTGGCTTTAGTGCTTTAGGCCTTGTGGCATACCAGTAGGTCGTGAGAGCTGCGAAAGCACCGAAGCCCATCAGCGTGTTTGTCGGAAGGGTGCGCACATACTGCCTGACGTCCCCAAGCTCTGGCATTCGTAGGTGTCTAAACAACTCATGTGCTTGCATTGCAGTTCAGTGCAGTTGTCCCGACCCTGGAGGCTGTTGATATGAAACAAAGTTACACATAAAGATTTGAAATCCCCTTTCCATTCACTGTTGTTGTAGGAGAGCAATGTATGCTTTGTCCTGCTAGCTTCCCACTAGCACAATAATTTGATTTGCCACTAGGCAGGCAATACCTTTAGACTTCTGTGCTGCAATTAAGTAAGCAAGCAATTACTGGTTCCTACTCTAGAAATACCAACGGGGCTCACAGGAGGCCATTTCTGCAGAGTTTTAATATTGCTTTTAACAGACAGTGCATTTTAACAGATCTTGTTCCTTTTTTTCTTTTTGAAGGACAGCATTTCACAAATGCTAAATATTTACTTGTAGAGTAGCTGTACTGTAAGACAGTTTAAAGCATAAGCGTCAAACAGGGGAGCCAGAGAGAGGGAGAGCAAGGGTATAAGATATTAACTTGCCTGCATTAACCTAACAGAGAGCATCCTCATCCTATAGTGGCATAGCAGGATTTTTCATCTCTTAAATCCATTAAATAAACTCACTCCCTCTCTTTTCTACTCTCCCTCCAATCACTCAGAGAAATGCTCACTACAGCAAGCTGCCTTCACAGCTGATATCCTCCCATAGCTCCTCTGTGCCAGCAAGCTTCCTATTTCTCCCAGCCATCATGCCAGCAATTTATCTCTGGTCATGAGGCAGACTAAAGCAGCACCTAAGGAGGCCCAAGGCAGCAGCACACAGCAATATAATCAAGCACAGGAAGCACATTTGATTTGTCACGTTCACACAGAAGGAAGAGCTGAAAGAGGCTGCTCCCTGCCAGCGCTCGCTGACATGGATACTCCACAGCATTGCAGTCAGCTCAGCTGGTGTTCTCCTCTACAGCCAAGGTCTCCTGGGACATTTGTCACATGCCAAACCCACCACCCCTGCCCACTAGGTGAGAGGTAACAGGCAGCCGCCAGCCTGCCCAGGGCCAATGGCAACCCGCACCCAGTCACCCCACCGCCCGCTGCCCTCGCAGCGCCTGTCACCCGCCCGGGCTGGCCCACAACACCCTCCTGTAGCAACCTCTACTTGCTTGGAGAGCAGAGATGTATTTACTCAGATAATTGAGGTCCAGCCATTTCCTATGGACAATAAAATTAAACAAAGGACCTAAAGAATGTCAAAACATTGTGTTTTAATAGCTAGAGCATACTGTGTAACAATACATTGCTTGCTGCAGGATGGGGCATAGGGGACACTGAAATCCCAACAGGCAAAGTTATATGTTTCTTAGTCTTTAAAACCAACCATACTAGGCTAAGATTTCATATTTCTACTGGAAAATCTCTAGTTTACAGTCTGTCCTTGAAATCTTCACTGCTGCAATTAATTATTCAACCAGGCAATAGAAGAGTTGTCTAGTTCACAAAAAGTCTAACCAGTATTTGGACAAGGATTTGCTAGAGACAGCATAAAAATAGTTCAAAGGGCCCTTGGTTTCACAATGTTAGCAGAAGGACAGGCTGAAGTAAGGTCACAGATGGGGGCAGCATCAGGATGGAATCAAGTTCCATCTCTGGAAGGGTCCTGGACTCATGGAGCGCTCGCCAGCCTTCCGGCACTGCCCTCCCCACTGCTTTCTTCTGCTCTTACAGCAGAGCCTGAGGGTACAGGGCTGCATCACCCAGACACGCAGTGCGGGGTCACTACAGAAATGCCTTTTGGCTATTTGCCCTGCATTACACAGCAGACTGTGCTCAAAATCCACAACACATCAGGTTCTAGCAATGGAAGGTAGAGAAGAACTGAATATACTAAAGAGAAGCCTCTTCATCTTCTCTTGGCATTAAAAAAATAATATAATCGATTAATGACTTAATAGTTAGGATTACCATGCTGTGGCTTTTTAAGCCTCAAATCATGTTGACCAGCATTGCAGGCATGAAAGCCACCTCTAAAGTTTTAATATACACTGATGAACAGCAAGAATAAAAAGTCATCCCAGCAAGGAAATCTTGGCTTGCAGGTTAGTTTTGGGTATATCATAGACACCATATTATGAAACTAGAAGAGGGCTATAGTGTATGTAAGGCTAAGAGCAGGCTTAGCTTTTCTCCTCAAGCCCCAGAAGAAACACCTTTGACTTAAAACAACAGATACTTGCTTTCCTCTCTGCATTAGTCATGTGTCCTGCACACACACTCTATGATTTAGGAATGCAATGTAATTAGGGAGTTACTCTTTCAGAAGGCTGTGATGCCATTACAGCAAAAAAGATTTGAAGTAAACATGACCATAAGAGTCCCATTGTAGTCAAAAAGCTGCTGTGGTTTCAGCCCAGGTGAGGGGGGAAAAAAAAAAAAAAAAAAAAAAGAAAAAAGAGATGGACATCACCACTTTTGTTTCCTTGACCAGTTGTTTGTAGAGCAGTCTGAGCAGCCTGCAAGTCAACAGCTACATAATGATACATTTTACTGCTCAGTTCTATATTGAGGGATGACTTTTTTTATTACACTTTCTGCCTCATCAGCACAAAAAAACAAGGTTAGGACAAAGTTTTCTGCGAGACTAAGTGATTCCTAGCTGTAACACTATCTGCAGTGTTAAATATATCAACTCTTCTTTTCTGTATTTAATACAAAGCCAGATGCAACAGGGAGAATAAATTCACATGCTTATGTCCCAACAAGAAAGGAGGTTTCAGTGCCTTCCAGTGTTCTTTGATCCATCTCAGTATTTATTTGCCTCATGCTCCAATCACATCAGACATCCAGAGGCTTTACCATGACAAAGGAGAGCCTTTAGATTGAGATATAAAGATCTTCCCAGTGGAGCTAGGATCTGGCTTTCAGTCCTTTTCCTCAAGGAAGGACCCAGCTAAGTCTGTTCACTCAAGACAAGCAAAAAAAAAAAAAAGCCATGCTCTCTTCACAACACTCAGGTCCTGCAATTGCTTCCCATCCAGACAGGATCTAGACCACAAGGAACAGACTCAAACTTAGCCCCAGTGCCAGAGAGGACATGGCAAGTTACTAGAAGTCACAGCTGGAGACCCAAAGGAAGAAGATCCCAGGTAAGAGAAGTACCAGTCTGTGATACTCAGGTTGCTACATGTAGCAAAAAACTTGGAGCAGGCTGGACAAGGTTTTAAGTTAAAAAGCACTTGTTTTTCCTCAAGACAACCATTAGGCTTTGGTTTGTTTGTAAGTTTAGAGACAATACCAGACAGTTATGGGGAAGTGGTTTTAATAACAGGGCAAATCTGTTTCAGAGATAATTACTCATCCCAGCCACCTCTGTCCCCAGAAACAGCAGTTCCCAAAATCCAGCCCATGAAAGCATCCCTCTGAACTCATCGTATCAATTCGGGTAAGGAGTTCTGTACAGCCCAGACAAAGCCAGCCCTCTCTGCTCACACACACGCGCACCCCTCGGCACCAAGACTCATTCTTTACAGCAGAGCCAATATCTCAAGGCAACGATCCAAGTTGGCAGGACCCTGCCGTTCTTTGCTGCTCCTACACTGGGCATACAATGGGCTATTTACAGCGGGCAGCAGCCTGCCTATTGTCTACCCATAGCCAGACATCGTTCGAGTGCAACAGCAGAGAACAGGAGAGCAGCCGTCAGCTTCTGTACAGCAAAGAAAACAACCCCAAGAACCAATGGCCTCTCTTCTTCCCCATCCTAATATTTAGATGAGCACCACCCTAGCACTCCACTGACCTGCCACAAAGGCAGGTTCACCACACCATGTAAAAGAAGTGGCTGTGTTATTACTGTCTCTTGCAGACAGGAGAAAGCTACAAGACAAGTTTTCTATCTCTTCCTGCGAGCAATATGGCCCTAAGATGTCTTCACTGTGATATGCTGGAACAGGGAATCAGCCACCCATATACCTTCACGTTATCCTGACAGTTACTTGTGATTGCAGTTTGTTGTTTTCTTACTGCTACAGGTTACACTGCACAGCTCCCACGGATCTCTGCTTTACGTAAGTCTTTCTCCACTCAGCCTTCGAAAGAGCAAGCACAGAATCATGTTAGAGCTCCTTTACTGAGTATAAAAGGGTGTAACAGATAGCTTTGGCTATTAACAGGATAAATCCTTTTGTCTGAATAAAATACATAATCCTGATCTCAGAGTGCATTTAAAATCAGCTTAAATTTGAGTCAGTCCAACCTGTCCCAGATACATGTTCCCACACCCCCAGGCATTCATCTAGTTGTGCAGTCACACTGGGTAGATGATTTGGCAAACATCATTTTCCTGGATTAGTTCTGATGCTAGTTCTCAGCTAGATCAACTCTCATCTGGATGACCAGTTATCAGTTAGCTCCCAGAAGGAAACAAGACAGCACAGCTGGGGAAAGGGATGGACATTGTAATACTACACCTTAAGCATGCAACTCCAAACACTACATACAACTCCTCCCAGGATTTTCTCCCCCTGCCCTGCTATCAAAGCAGTAACTTGACTGAGGTCTTCAACCTGGGACAGAGCCAAACCATAACCAGCAAGGAAACCACAACCACCCTCAAGATACAGTAAAGGAGCATCGGTAATTGAGAGCTGAAGGAGAATCCTCAGTTTAAAGCCCTCTATGACATGAATATGACAGCAAGATGTCTCCTGTGGTGCAGCCTGTCATGTATGACATTAAGTCTCTCCTTAACCCCAAAGGCCTTTCCTGAACAAACCAAGCACTGCTGAACTGTCTAATCTACTACTCTGCCCTCCTCATCCACCTACTTCCCCCCCTCCCAGTTAAAAGACTAAGTATCTCATCTCACCCAGAATCACCTAGATCACCCAGCCAGGCTTCAGATCTGTAACTATCTTTTTAAAGCAGTAACTGACAGATTTGTTTTCCTGAAACAGTAAAGAGGGAGAAACTAAAAAGCTATTAGTGAGGAACCCACCCCATGCACAGAGCTGAACAAGCAGGTCCTTAATATTCACTTCTCCACACCCCCAACCTGTCAGCTCCTCAGTCTGGCTCTAAGCAACCACAGTGCATCATGCAGTGGGTTCAGGTTGCCTCTG